ATTGTTATTAGAAAAAAAAGTTCATAGTTGGAAAAAAAATTCTAGCAAATCAGTTTGACTTACCTATGAAGCGTAGAATATTTAAAATGAATAAAGCAAAAAAAATTTGCTTAACATGAAATGAAAATGTTTCTGTCGTCGCAACAATAGAGATGAAAACAAGAATGAAGACGTCATTAATACATCATAAAATTGTACTGAATGCTCTATTAGGTTTACATTCTAGTGAAAAGAGAAAGAAAATTTATAGGATGATAATCTCATGAGAATTTTGAATTGTTATTATCTATGACAGTAACACATAGAAAACGAAAGAGAATTTCTATAATTGACTCGGATAGAAAAAAATTTATTTTAATGGAAATTAGAATAAGAACAAGAAAAAGAAGATTATGCGTATTTAATTTAAAACGTTCGAAATTAACTTTTTTATTGTATACGCAGTTAAGAACAAAACATCTTAGTCAAGGTCTTGAAACAACGCCCGGATAGCTCAGTCGGTAGAGCGTGTGGCTTTTAACCACAATGTCCAGGGTTCGAGCCCCTGTTCGGGCGTTGGCTTCCACTTTCTTTTTAGCTTTAAACTATACTAAAACTAAAAGAATTCTTTTTTCTTGACACCAAATGAAAATAAAAGCTCTTACTTGTTATTCTGTTGAAATAATGTGAGAAAGATTCCTTTTCCGTTTTTGATAATATGATAGGATAGAACTAAATTAACTCGGTGATAGATAGATTATCGTTTGACATAGAAATATAGAGGATGTGTGCATGATTGAATTAGTGATAAATTTGTGTATCTATTTGCTTCTGAGCAGGAAAGAAGGTTAAGATAGAGACGAGGGATATAGGAAGCACGAAGGCAAAGAGAAGAAATAATGCTTAATGTGTTCAACTTAGATGTTCGATAAGGAATGAAAGATAATCAGAGAAAATGTGTCAAACCTTGAATACACAGAGCATATGTACTCTGTCAGCAATAGTCGATCGCCATAATCTACACGATAACATTTTTGCATCTTGTTCTACAGTGTAACTCAGTAATAATATTCATGGTCATTATTCTCAAATAATAATAATATAAAAGAGCAAGTAAACCGACTTTAAGCTTTAATTTTCTAATTTGCAAGTCTTTTTTTTCTTCTTTTGCCATCGATGCAAATATCTTATTAGCTCCATCTAATTTATATACATCAAAAGAAGTAAAAAATGTATGATCTAGTTATGAAAAAGATAAAAGTTTTGCGTCGTTTTTTTTTTTGTATAATCAGAGAAATCAAATGGTCTATTACGCATTAAAGAAAAAAGGAAAAAAAGAAATCATACAAATGATAAAATAATCAAAAATTGGACAATGTAATTGACAAACAATATATACTTACTACGAAATAAAAAATTGATGAATAGAATATAAAAGTTGAGAATTGATTTTTGTCTTTTTTATCTTATTCAATACAAACGATCATTATTTGAACGAATGTAATCGCAAATAATGATGATTATAGTTGTTTTACCGTTATACTCGTTTTGAACTAATTTGTTGTCTAACGGATTTCGGCTTCAGGTAGCGATGACATGACATGACAATCTTCTAATGATTAGACAACATTTGGCAGAAGTGAAGTAGAAAAAAAACACTCAGAAAACACTTTTTTCTTTGAGCTTTTTCCTGCTTCTATATTATCTATTTTTGTGATGATGATAAAGTTTCAAAGAAAAATAGAACGTGTCAAAAAAAGAGTTCATATAGGTGAACATAATTCATATTTAAATATGTCATGCATGCATTTCAATAAAGAATTTTCTTGTGTATTTGAGAAAAGAAAAAAAAAACTAACTGTGCTACATGGGTGACAAAAAAAATTAGAAATAATGAATTCTTCCGTTATATTTTTTTGACGTCAACTACAATGTTTTAATATTGTATGAAATTTTTATGTCAAATACAATTAGTTAAACAGAAAAAAATTGACTTGTAATATTTGTCATGCGTCATTTTTAAGCATATCTCTAAAAACGTTGTTATACTACAGTTATTTTATAGTGTCTTTGTTGTTTTATTTCGGGGATATTCTTATAATAAAGTTCATTTGATAAAAGATGATATTTATTGCTGAGAATATATCTTTATAGACGCTCGTTATCTTAAGGACATGCCTTCTTTTTCGTCTATTTCTGGTTCTCGAACAGAGTGTAATCGATCCGCATGAAATCTTTACCAAAGTTACAGCGCCTGAAATAAGAAGACACATGCTCAAGAGAGAAATAATTTAAACAAGATTTTCGCAGTTTTTTCGGAAAAACGTTGGTTTTCAATAAGACCGTATTGGGCTCGCTTATAACTGTCTCCCCCCCCCCCTCAGTGCCCAATTGAGTTTTTTTATGAGAGAAATAAGTAAAGGTTCGGATTCAAAGCTATGGTGCTGGTGTTCAGGACTCTATAAATCCAGCTGCGAAGATCACAAACGAAAACTATCGATTTTACCTCTGAAGAATATTTCCAAGTATCTGCCGTCAAAGTTTTAGCCTGATCAGGTACAGCCAGACGATGAGCGTAAGTGAGCATCCTATAAAAAACCAGATTTTTCCCAAAAAAACTGCGAGAGTCTCATGTAAAATTATTTTTTCCTCGAACATATGTCTCCTTATTTTCAGGCACTCTATGTGTAGTCAAAATTTCATGAAAATCCATTGTGCTCTCTACTAGATTCAGAAATGGCTAAAAAAAAGAGATGGGACTCATAATCAAAATTGTCAAATTGAAGTAACTAAATTTGATACATAGAATTTATTTCTAGTTAAATTAACTTATGTTTTGATATCAGAACGTGTACGGTAGTGCACATGATTTACGTAATGCATATCTAATAAGATGTACAACAAATTGAGCCATATTGGAACGAATGGGCTCGATTGGGAAGAGAACGAACGAAAGAAGTCATAGACAGACGAGTACATTCATTTTCACATTATCTTGTTTCATACGTTAAAACTTGCAGTTAACTATTGAAATGAAATGATCAAATATTAGTATCTAATCATTTTATTTCTGTCCGTCAATATTGATAATCAATCTTACTTCAATAAATATGCGCAAACAATAGGAAAATCAAAATGTTGAAATAATCGATATGAATATTCAAGTAACAATATTGATTGAAGTTGCTTGAATAAATACAGGTAGTTATAATTCATCAATATTGAAAAGTATTAGTCAATAATTATAATGTGAAAACAACTGACACAATACTTAGACAACATACTTGTCCAAAAATGATTTTTAATTAGAAGCTCTTCAACGAAAATATTTATTTTGAGAAATCATATAGTGACCTAAGAACTACTCTTATCAATAAGGAAGTCATCATGATGTTGCAGTGTTGACGCAAAAATAATATTCAACTTAAATATTAGCAAGAAAATACGTAAAAAATAAACTAATACCATGACATATTTTTAATGTTATTGCATAAGACATTATGAAAAAGACTGAAACAATCGTATAAGAAGGCCTCTTCCCTCTTTTCAGTTGTTAAAATAATTTTTTTTTTCGATTTTTGGTGTAGTTTTGCAGTGTTCTCTGTCATATGTCATATAAATGAGGGCACTTTATTGTTAGTTAATACTTTTATTAAATCCAACTCTCGAAATCCCCACTAGAGAAACTTGTGCTGTGATCATTCTTTGTATGTAAAATTCTCTGAATGATAATTTCTAAAGGTACTGCGAATATGAGTTATGAATCTCTAACACTACTGAACATAACAGGTTTTCGATCACTCTAGTTGGAAAGAAAAATACACTTGATACATAGAGAAAAATTTGTTTTTCGTTTTTCTCGAAATGAATTTTAACACAAAAAAACCGTGTAGAGTCATCTAGCTGTTGATTTTATAAAAACAAAAAAAAGCTCTAGTAAAGAAAAGAATGTATTTTTGGAGATGCACTCAGTATTTTGATCTTTTTATTCGAATGAAAAGAGATAAAACGAAACCAAAAAAGTATGAATCCTAAACAGTGTCTAGGATCTGTAAGAAAAATTTTAACTCTATCAGACTTATTGCCGGTGAGAAAGCAGGATGATTTTGAGCTTTTATGATTAAGAAATCGTGGAAATGGAGGAGGCAGGACCCCTTTTATCGAAATTAAATCTAGTTATATAATAATGTTTCATTTTTTGTATCTTTTAATGAAGTATTCAAAATGAAATTTTCCTTTAAATAATTTATTCATTCAGGTGAAAATAAAATTCAATAGATGCTTTATTATTTTCTTCTTATTTTTTTACATGGACAATTGAACAATACATTGTATAATTACTTATGCGAAAAAAAATCAAAATTTTATCTGTCATTTATTCTTCGTTATCGGCAAAAAACATCTCTATTTAGATTAATTCCAATAGTTGCTTTCACTGCTCTTACTATTCAAGGAGAATCTATTGCATCCATTGTAAAATAAAACAGGTTTTAGACTATTACAATTTTAAGAACAAGTAAAAAAAATCTAATAAAAATATTCAATTATAGAACTCGGTTGATTCACCAATTGATTGTTCAGATTGTTATAATCAAGATTTTGCATGGATAAATATTTATACCAATGAACAACCGAAATATTGTATTAAGTTTGACTATAACTTAACGATACATGATTTTAAACTATTGGTTAATAGTCCTCGAACAATTAGTGAGCGATATTTTTCAATAAACGCTGTAATCAGTTGATATGGAATTAACTTATTTGCCATTATTTTCTCATATTAAATTCTCTATTCCATACACTTTATTATCAAGACGTAGTACATTCCCTCTTAAAAGATATAATATTTTCAGACAGATCTCACAGAATTCAATATCTGATTTTCGAATATTTTTATTTTATTTTCAAAATATTTGTCTTTTTCAAAAGAAATTATAAGTAAATAAAATCAATCACAGACACACTTAGCTAAATGTTATTTGTTTTATGTATTAAATTGGATTTATATATCTATATTATCAAACAGCGCCGCCATTTTTACGTTGATGAATACGATCTTCAATTCTATTCGAAGCTGGTTTATCTTTAACATTTGATTTATTTGTTGGAATATTTGTTGCTGGTGATGATGAACGTATCATAGGTAAATTAGTTGTTTGTTCAGAATGTTTAAGAACATTTGATTTACTTCGTTGAGCATATGGTGAATCACTTAATTTATTTTCATTTGGAATCAAATCAATAGCATATTGAAGACATACACGTTGTACATTAACAGCATCAGTATGATGAAATGGAAGTGTTGGACGAAGAATTAATAATTTTCCATTTTGTGGTGAAATACTTCGAGCAACCATTGATGTTTTTGATGCATTACGTTGACCTTGAGGAAATTGTTTTGGTAAAATTTCTTCAATTCTAAAATAAAAATAAATATAATATTATTCAGAAATATACAAAAAAAGAAAATCGAAAAAGAAGAAATGAAACAACTTGAATGCATCAGTTGATATATAAGTTGGATGTTTTCTTGGTGATTTTGGTGTTGGGCACAATTGTGATTTTCTTGTTTGAATATTTTTATCTGTATCATTTGTTGGACGTAATTCTTCATGTTGTTCACGTTCCATACGTCGAAAAACACATTCATATGTTTGTGTTGTACGTGATATACGTTTAGGTCGACGACGTGTTTTTTGTTTTTCAGTTACAATTTGTTCAGTATCCGATTGTGTGTGACGATCATTATCGGTTGATGATTTAATTATGTTTTTTTCTTTTTGTGATGTTTCCTTAGTTGTTATTTCAGACGTTTCATTCTTATTTTGATCAGTTAAATTTTTAACAAGAACAGTTACATTAACATTAACTGGTTCATTATCATTGGTAGATTTTTTAACTGAACGTGGAGTAATATATCTGTTGGAATCAAGTTCTGTATCAGGTGTTGATGTTGAAGTTCGTTCTTTGGTTGTAGAACGACGATTCATACTTTGATGATCCGACATTGATTTGGTTGCTTTTAAAGGCTTTTGAGAAGTTAATTCTAGAAAATGAGAATTAAAAGTTTGGTTGATAACACACCATGGAGATGTTTCAAAATGAACTAAAGGTGATTTTTCTTTTTTTTTAAAAACATGTGATTCATACATTAATTTAGGTTTCACCCGCAAAAATTGATCTCCGGACAAGTACATTCAAATCGCATGAAATTTTCAGCTTCATACCATGATGCTTTCGGAAGACATTCATCACAAATAGCTCACTTGGCAACCCAAAGTTACCTGTGGATACTCATTCTATGTATTTGAGATTTTTTTATTTGAAAAACCATGTCAGATTCTAGTGCCTAGTGAAGCTCGTTTTTTATTTTCTTACATTTTCTGCAGAGAAAAAGCATGAGAAGTTCAATACGTTGAAAAATTCTCGAGTAATTATTTATTTATAGAAGTCACTTCTTATACAATAATGAAAAACTTAATTTAAAAAACGAGCTGTGCAACTTCGCATACTTTTTCAAGCAGAAAAAAACAACTATTGACTGCAATGAAGCTCTTTCATGTATTCGTCACAACTTAACTCAATCTGAAAAAGACCATTCATATGTCAATTGCTATATGATATACTTAGTTCAGATTCATTATCGCTTAACTTTTCAGCTGAAGCAAGATAACTAAAAGTAACAAACACCTTTTTCTACTCAGGCTTTACTCAAGTAGTACTCTAGTTGTTCTATTTCCTGTAATGTTTAAAAAAAGTGATGAGGTAGACACACCTTGTTGTTTTTTTGAATCTATTCTTTGGTCTGTATTAGTTTCGACATCTTTCTTTTTCGATTTAACACGTCTTCGTTTTTGTTGTCCATATTCTGTATTAATATCTGATGTTGAATCAATTGATTTATCGTCAACAAGTGGAATATAATTAAATGATTCCGCACTATTACTTCGATGTAATGATCGATGTTGTTCTTTGTTTTTTTGTTCATCTTAAAATTGAAAAGAAAATTTAATAAATAAATAAATCAAAATAGAAATTCTATTTTACTAGAATTTCGTTTTTTATTTTTTGCTAAACTTTGATTATGTTCAGCAATTTGTTCAACATTAGGTGATTGTGGCCGTGATAATGGAGTTTCATCGTCAGTTAATTGAATTGGTGGAACAAGAACTTGTTTAGTCCATTGTGATATTTGATTATTTTCTCTAGGTGTTGTTGTTTCTGATGATGATGTTTGTTTAATTTCAGAATGATGAGATTTATCTAGTTGTGACGTTGAATTAACTCGTGGTAATTTTGAAGTATTTAATTGTTCACAATCAGAATCTGTAACTGATGAATGCTTAAAAATAAACGAAAACAAAGTAAGAAATAATAAAATGATAAATTTCTATTAATTTACTTTTTCATTTTGTTGTTGAGATTGTTTTGAATCCATTATTATTGGAGTAACTACAGATTGATCTGTTGTTGTTGATTGTTGTCCAGAACGTTTTCGTAATGATGATTGTCGTTTATCATTTGATAAAATACGTTCTTGTTTTTGTTTAGCTGATGTTCGAAGAGGAATATCAGTATCTGTTGATGAACGACGACTATCTTTTGTATCATTATTGGTAATTGTTTGTTCTTGTTTTGTAGAACTAGTACGACGAGAACTAGACGCACAAACAAACAAACAAAAAAATAAAAACATTATGTAAGAAATAAAAATATTTGATTTTTAATGTTGAACCTAGATAATTGTTTATCTCGATCTGTAGCTGATTTTTGTTGGCTTGGTCGACGACTAAAAATTAAAAGAACAAAGTCAATTGTAAAATTGTTATTAGTAACTACAAGACTATTAGTTAATTATTGTGTTACTTCCTAAGTTCAATAAATATAGTTAAGCATATTTTTATTGTAATTTTGATCTATACAATCATATACATATGTACATTAGGATATGATCATATTCCTATGTCAAGTATGATGACAGAATATGGCTCACTTACATATTGTAAATTACCTGTAAATGAGTATATGCAGATCATATGATTCGACTTGAGTTACTTATGAACTATTTTTCTCTATATTTTGCTGATGAAACTATTTCACTGTTACACAGAGAATATCTATTAAAATAACATACCTAGGAACTTGTTGTTCTTCGATTAAACTTGTTTTTCGACTAGATGACTTGCTAGAAATTAAAAAAAAGAAACGATATATTTAATTTCGAAAATAGAATGTTTTTCTCTTTCAAACCTCGATGATTTTTTTCCTTGTTGATCCAATGAATTTCGGCGACTAATAGGTTTTTGTTCACTAGCAATATTTCCTCGTTTACTTGATACTTGCTGTTCAGATGCACTACTTCCTTTACGACTTGAAGATAAATTTGGTTTTTGATCAGTAATAGTTGTTTGTTGTTGACTTATATTACTACTTCGTCGACTTCTTGATGAAACAACATCCCCATCAATAACTTTTTCATTGCTAATTGAAGTTGACGTTTGACTTTTACGATTTGTTTCACTTGGTGGTCGAGAACGATCTTGATCTGTTGTAACAAGACTACTTTCTAAGACAGGATTTGTTGATATCATTTGTTTAATAGCAGATGGAGATGGTGGTGGACTATTGTTTTGTTCATTATCAATATCATTTGTTGGTATTTGAAGTTGTTCGCCAGGTTTTATTAATTTTGATTGATCATTTGTTGTTATAAAATCATTATTTAATTTTGTTGTTGATGATTCCGAAGAATTATCATTAACTTTTGATTTAACAGCACTTGATGTTCGAGATGTTTGTTGTTGATCCAATTTATTTGTACTTTCTCGTCTTGATGATGATGATGAAATTGTAGCTGTTGATGATGGTTCCAAAGTTTGTTTTTGTTCTTCATCATGAGCATTCACTGGAGATGATTGATTAATAGTTAATATATTTGTATCATTTTTTGTTGTTTGTGGACTTGTTATACGTGATGATGATTGAGCTTGTTCACCAACAAATGGTGATTGTGGTCGTTGTGATGATTCAACATCTGCTAAAGTTTTATGTAAATCGTCAGACGTTGATGAACGGGATTTTGTTCGTGACGATGGTCGAATAATTGGTGCTACTTCTTGATTATTATTATCTGTATTGGAACCAGTTTCATCAGATAATTGAACTCGTTTTTCATCGCCAACAATTGTTTGCTTTAGAAAAGAAAAGATTATTTAATTTAAAATTAAATGAAGCTTATTTGATATAGACATACTGATCGTTTACTAGATGCAGATTGTATTCTTGATGTTGATGGTTTAGGTGATGCCATATTAAAATGTGTTGTTTCATCAAGAATATTATGTTTCGTTGCACTTGATGGTCGTTCACTATCATTGATAGTTTCTGTTTTTGAATGCAAAGAATCTTTATCAGCTGTACGATTTGTATTATTTTCTTCTTCTTGTGTTGATAAATCTTGTCGATGTTGATTAATAAAATCATCATTACTAGTATTGTTTGTTCTTGCTTGAAGACCACCAAGATCATCACCATCAGTTGAACTTTCGTCTTGTTGAATAGGTAATGGTGATGATTGTTCAACTGGATCATGATGATCAAGAAGAACTGATTCACTCATTGATCGTTTTGGGCCTTGATTAATATGATTTACTGATGGATCAATTATATTCGGTGTCGAACTATTATCTTGATCAGTAATTAAACGGCCAGATGTAATTGTTCTTCCAGAAAGAAAATTATTATTGTCAGGTGTTATTGATTCTGATTGTAAATCATTGATGAGATCATTCGTTGTTTTTTCATTATCATCATTACCAAAATCATCATTACTTGTTACTTTACTAGTATCATTATTAATATTTGTTGTGGATTCTGTTTGTTGTAATTCATCTTAAGAATAAAAATTTATAAAGAAAATTAAAATTGAAAAACGTTATCTTACTTGGGTCTGCATATAATGGATTATTTGCAAGGAGACCTATTGTTCCAAGTGTTGTTGATGGAGGCTTTGTTGTTGTATCTTCGTTATCAGCCATAATTGTCAATACATTTATATGAAAAATTAATTGAATAGTTAATAAACCAAAATCTAGAAGAAATAGACATAAAAATGAATGATTGATAATCTTGAACAACGTTCAACATATAAGAAATGAAGAGATATATTCAATCGTCTACTATGACTCGTTGACCATCAATCTGATCATTATATCGTTGCTTCATCTACTAAAATAAGTTGAAGAAAGAAGAGAACTGGCAACGACAACAACAACAAAGCACACTACAGATCAATATGTTTCTATGATGAAGCAAATGGAATACAGACTTTTGTTGTTTTTTCATTCAAATAGAAAAAAAATCACATAAGACGAAAAGTAGGTAAGAAAGAAAAAAGAAAAAGAAAAATTTCGTTCATGGATAGCAAAATAAATTTATTTTATCATATTGTTAGAAACGAGCAGATATAATGTTTCAATTAAACAAATAAAAATACGATGAAATGAGTATTTTACAAGTCATAGATTTTTTTATTGACACAAACATGAATAAGAAAATAAGAAAAAGTTTTTTTTTAGTGACAAATAAACTTTCTATACTAGTATTGTCGATCTATTTACTTATGAATTTTTATTTTGTTTTCTATCTTCACTACTACGTAGTTGGAATTTGATTGTTGATGTATGTCGTTAAGGAAAGGTGTTGTTGAGGAATGTTATGATTGTTCTGTTAAATAAGTAGATTTTAGAGTATAAGCGCTCAGCATCCGTTGTCGCTTATTTCTTACTTTTATTTTGTGCCCTAGACAATCATTAGAAGTAATGTGAAGAAAGAAAGAACAATAAAACATCACGGTTTTTCCTTTTGTCTTTCGATTCAAATGTATTGGAATTGCGTTTCAATCACTATCAAAGCAAGTTAAAAAAAAACAGACCTAGAAGGCCTTTTTCTTTATAAGAATAACATCAAATGATATAAAATTGAAGTAAAATCTCTATGCCATGACAACAAACAAAGAAATAATATTCTTTTTTTTTCTCTTACACTTCAAATACTGTTGCACAACGAAACTGCTTATTAAAATATTGTCTTATTCTTCTGATCCTCGTTAATTGATGTTTCTTTTTTATTTCTTTTCAATAATAAACAAAAGAAAAAAAAATTAAGAATAACAATCGAACAAAATTCATTATTCTAGATAGAATTTAAATTTTGAATCGAATACATATAAATGAATAACAAGACCACGTTTTTCATTTGGATGTCTTTGACATGAAATTTTTCCAGTTATTTCTTCACCTAAGAAATAAATTATTAGACATATATATATATATTTATAATGAATAATTAATATTCTTCTCCTCACCTTCTTGAACACTATATAGTCGAGGTAAAAAGAATACTGTTTGTTTCCAATGCGTCTTTGGTGATCGAGGTGATGTAGAAAAATGTACCTAGAGAAATCAAAAATAAATGTTTGCTTCTAGTTCAATGAGAAAAATATGTGTAACTAAAATGTTATCGTTCTGTTTGACACAATATTTTACCTTTTCAATAAGATTCTTAGCAAAATTCACATCAAAATGACAGACAAAACCAGATATAGAACCAGATTTAAGTACTTCAACAGTAAATGGATGTGTAAAAGTAATATCATCATTTGAACATGTATAAATATCCAAAGTCTAAATAAAATTTTATTGAAGAAAACAAAAAAAATGAAGAAGAAAATTTATTCAATTTACTTTAATACAGCAATCACTAGTCATGATATCATTAGCTGGCACAATTATAACATGACCATCAACAAGAATATTTTTTGCAACAGTATTCATTTCAAAACCATAAACATCTGACCAATAGCCAATATGTTCATGATAAAGTTCATCGGAATGAAAAGCCGACATATGTATGGAAAAATCATCGGGTAATACTAAAAATGAAATATTTTAAGAGATAATAATATATGTATAATTTCAAAATTTTTTTTATAAAATTATATTTTGATTACATTGAGTAACACTACTATTTTATGAAAACTTTATTGAACTTGAACTAACACTGCACGATAGAACTCAATAATGACTTCAATAATTTGTCGAAATTTTAATAAAGTCAAATTATTCTTAATGTTAATAAAAACAATATGAAAGACAACTCGAATTATTTGTTGAACATTAAAACCACAATGTATCCATTGGTACTTCAATTTCATCAAGGCTATTGTTGATTAACGAAAATTTGTTACAAGTAAATTATTCGTTTTTAAAAGCTACGGATAAAATGCTTCATAGAACCAATTTTAGTCTTAGTCTAAGACGTGTTGAATATTTAGGAATAAATAAACAACTTACCCAAGCCATTTTCTTTGTCTAAATATGTATTACGAGCAAAGATGATCGATTCCAACATACATTCAAACAATAGAAAATAGCCTAAAAAATTATTATTTAGAGTAAACATTTCTTCTTAACACATCATTATCTTACCCATCCATTCAGATATGATAATATCAACCTGTTAAAACACAATTCAAATATTCAATTTCAAATATCAATAAATTTTATCGTTTACTTTTTCAACAGGTAAATTCACATCTTCAATTCTTCCATGAATAAAAACAAGTTTTGATTCATCAATATTATTTTCTCTAGAGAAAACAGAAATATCGTGACTAGTTTCTTTGAATACTTTATTTCAGATAAAGAAAAATTACTTAGCTATAGCCATAGCATCATAAATCATATCTGACATATCAACAGCTATAACCATTTTTGCGTGTCCATATTTAATACATGCCATAGAAAGTATACCTGTTCCACATCCAACATCTAATACAATTTTATTACGAAATACATCGACGTTTTCTTTTATACATTTTAAATAACTTTCCGTACGAACTTTATCCTAGAATAATAATCAAATTCAGAAAATCAAAAATTCATTAATTTTTTTACTTACAATACCTGAAGCATATCTTTATGAATATCATAATGATTATATGTAGCAAAATAATCATCGTCTTGAATATCATTTTTAGTTTTTGCTTTTGATGTTGTCGTTACACCAGTAGATGAATCATCTAATAAACGAGATGTCATAGATCTATCGAAATATAAAATAGTTTCTTTGAGAATAATAAAAAAAAATACTTTTAAAAATTACTTTAATGTGTCAACCATTTCTTCTAATTCTCGAATTCTTTGATTAGCTTTTATTAATTGATCATTTTCTTGAACAGTTTTTGATATTGTTAAATCACCGAGTTGATTTAAATCTTCTTCAATGTCTGAAACACAAAAAACAACTGTTAACACAATGCGTGTGGGACTAAAATGTAAAACACGATGTAGATGCTATTGCTAATAACATGAAAGATAATTTTATATCCATAACATCTCCAACGGTCTATGGTGTTTCCATGGTAGTTTTTTTTTATATCGTGTTTCACAAAAATATCAAGATAAACTTTATTTGTTTTGTTTGTTAATATTACCAAATTGTAATGCTGGATCATTATCAATAACTGTCGTGAAATATTTATCGTCTGCCCATGGTGGTGATGTCGATAGTGTTAATTGTTTTAAATCATTCATTGAAGGTTTCTAAATAAGAAAAATTGATGAAGAAAATTTTAAAATAAAAACTAACTTCAAGACGAATATAATTAATTAATCGGATATAATCATATTGTGAAACAATTTGATGTGTTTTAAGAAATTCCACAAGATCAAATTGTGACTGATAAGCACGAAACATTTCTATCACATTTGGAAATATGTCTGATGAAAACAATCCTTGTACTTGCTCAAGTATATTTATTTCTTCTTCTTGTTCATCATTAAAATTATCTTCATCGTTCTCATCATCATCATCATCATCGGATAGATTTTGTCGATATTCATTTTTATTTATTGATGACATATCTAAAAGTAAATAAATAAATAAATATATATATATCATGGAACAAAAAATACTGCTCATAATTAATATAAAACAGATTTTGTAAAACAACAAAAAGAAAAGAAAAGAAAACATTAAAAAGAAGTTGTTTTAGTTAATTTTTTATCGGACGACGATGGTTGTTTTCGAAGTGTCATCATTATTTGACGTCTTTCTACTCCATCAAGTTTATGTATACCAGTCAAATGTTGACCCATATGACGAGATGAGATTGGTGATTTCCAACAAATAGCTTTCGGATGTCGTAAAGGACATTGAATATAGAATGTATCATTTAGTAATTGTTCATCGGGACGAAATACCGGTTCAGTTTTATTTTTAACGATAGCTTCAGCTAATCGTTGTGCACATGAACGTTTCATTTGATGATATACAACTTAAATAGAGAAAACAAAAATCATCTTTCAACAATTTGATGAAATTTCAACATGATTAATTAATCAGTTAATTAGAATATTTAGGACATTGCGAGAAAGTTGTCCAACTGATTAATTGCTTCTGAGTCGAGACTACATACATTATGTAGAACCAAAAAAACTATGAATACCTTGAAAATAGTTCAGGCTCTTAGCTTATTGCAGTCGGAATATTGTACTTTTACGATGGTTTTTAAATGAATGCTGTAGTCTACCTCAGGACAATTGATCTCCATCTTTCAGGTTTTTCTGATGCTGGTCAGGATATTCATTTAAAAACTATCGTAAAAATGCAGTATCTCGACACCAATAAACTATAGACTTTAACTGTTTTCATGGTATTCATAGTTCATTTGAGTCACATGATGCACATAGTTCCGACTCAAAATCGATTAATCATTTGGAAGACTTCCGTCGTCAAGAGGTCGACTACAAGTCTTTTGCTAAATTTAATCGGTTGTTCTCTTGTTAATACTGATTCCTTAATAGCATTATTCATACTTAGATATTGCTAAGAAACAAACACGATATACATTAGACATGTTTCATCAGTCACTTTTGTACGAGTTTGTCAAACAATCGAAAAAGTCGATCAATTTTCTTAGATTACAAGTTCTGCGATACACTTGTAAATATATCTCACTAACCAAAATGATCATATAAACAAACATCTTTTGGTGTAACTAATGGTGCACCAATTGGTTGATTAGGTTGTGTACATAAACGAATTTTATGTTCAGCGGTAATACCAAATTTTCCATATTGATTTAATGGACATTGTGCACGATAAACAGTTGGATGTGTTGCAATAAGACTTGTTGATTGAGATGAAAATAAATCAATATCACCTTCTTCATTTTCATCGGCAAGTAATCGTACAATTTGCATTGTTGGAGAATGTGTTAATTGATGATATTGTATTAAATGTTTATCTAATAATAAATTTAATAAATTAAAATTAAATTAAAATTAAATATTACAGAGATTAATTGGTGCTGTAACACGTGTACATGGAAAATGACGAATGCCATGTTTGATTGGATCAAGACCATAAGTACGTGTTGTTAATGGACAACATCCTTCGTATTTAAAACGTTTAAGTTGAAGTATCTATGAAACAAATTCAATCGATAAAAAAAAATAAAAGAAACTAATAATTATTTACTTACTGTTGATTTTTTTGTTGGAAGTTTATTATTTCGACTTATTTTTGAATAGGAATGATCATTACTATCATGAAAACAAGATGATTCAATGAGAAAAAAAAATAAATAAATAATCTTAAGTTTACTTACTAATCCGTATGTGCATTTTGTTCATAATTCATAGTTTCATTATGTATATTATTTGAAAGTCTTTCAGATTGTTTTGAAGTTTGTTCAACAAGTAAGTCATTTACATCGACGTCATTGGAGTCGTTCAGAGAAGAAACATCTGAATTTATCGAATTATCTTTCCTATCTATCAAAAGATTTTTTGGAAAATGTTTACGTACCATTAAAATAGGTTGAGTATGATTCATCATCTAGAGGTTTATGAGTGTTTGTAGTGTCACCTGAAAATTCAAAAAAAAACAAAACTATGATAGATTTCACACGAATATTTTAGTATGATTACCTATAGTTAGATTAGTAGATTTCGAATTTTCGTATTCATTAAGTAATTGATCAATTCTATCAAGAAATGTAATTAATTGTGATGTTGATTGTCGACGTTCGATTTCTAAATCATATAATTGTGTTAATCTTGATCTTTGATGATAAAGTCGAAGAATAAATTCTTGTGCATTATCGTTAGAGGATTTATCATCATTATCAAATAAATTTGAACCTGTTGGTGTAATCAATGGTGTTGGTAGTGCATCTTGTTTGGATTCATGTAATGGATTAATGCATACGACTAGTTGAGTATTTGGATAAGTCGAAAGTTGTAACGCAATCGGATGACTAGACGATAAAGAAGAGATTGTAGACATTAGAAAAATTTTATTTTAGAATAATTCGAAATATAAATTCGTAAGGATAGGAAACTATACAACCAACAGCTGATCAAAACTGAAGGAGGTTAAGGGAATATTATGATAGACCAATCTAATTATAACACTTGTTCCGTATGAGAGAGACATCTGCAAAAAAATGTTTCTTTCATTGAACATGTGAGTATTGATTCTCAAACTTGTATAATTTTAAAAAAGAATCATTCTTCCTATTGTGTATATGATAGTGTGATGATAATTAAGATAAACAATGCTGTCAGTATTATTATATATACCTAAATAAAAATAAAACAAAATATCTATATCCTATAAAAGAGAATTATTGCAAGAACCTACGAAGGACTACCAGGGATTGCAGAAATCTATCACTGCTCACATGCAACGTTTTTACCTGAGATACAGAAATTTTATAGAAGCTCTTCAAGTGGTTTTGTTACTATTCCCTATAGCAAAGCCATTTTTTGACTTGCAATCAAATTACTAAATCTCAGCTAAACAGCGTTGCATAGAACTTGAAAACACGTTATCTTGTAGAGAATAATTTACTTTAGCATTATATTTAGTGTAAATAAATTTATACGTACGCATTCTAGGTGTTAGGAGACTAGATTTTTTTGGTTTTTTGAAGTCATTTTTTTCGCGAATCTGATAATAGCTCTTATTTTCTTATTTCTTCTTTTTAAAACAGTTTCTCTACTTGAATTACTATTTTGAAACCTTTGCCGCATTTAGAATAGCGGAAAAAATCGAAAATAAGCGTTACTGAATAATTTTTGTATGTCCTATACATCTACTAGAATTTAAAGAAGTCTATATCTAAATTTCGATTTTTGCATTCACATTAGACTACCTTAAAAGACTTTTTTTCTTAAAAGAATCAAGTAAAAATTAGACCGATTTTCTTCCAAATACTTTTTGAACATGTAAGCCTGTTTGAAGTTCAAGTGAACAAGCTAAATGTTTTTCTTGTTTCTGTTGTTGCTGAGAAATAAGGTGAAGTGTCGAATCTTCGAAAATATCCATATAAATTAAAAAACGAATTATACTGAAAATGATTAATCTTGATATCATCTTAAAGAAAAAATTGTCTCATGTTATGATAATGTAAGTTTTATTTATTTCAACATGAAATAAAATACAACAGTTTTTTAAAGAACAGTCGTATTCTGTTGACTCTCAGCAATCGAATCATTGAATACAGATGTAATGGCATGGCTCATTGCTAGTCATTGCCTCGTCTTAAATGATTCGAATCATCTCACATTCAACAGAAATCGATATCGATCTGTGGTCTCCATATGAAATAAATTTCATTGGACAAATATGAGTTTCTTTCTTTTTTGCTTCTTTGTCGTCATTCTTCGTCTTCTCTTTCGGTGAATCTTTTGTTGCTGCTATGTGTAATCCTTCTTTTAGAGTGCTTATTTGATAAGAACAAAAACACAGAAAAAAGCAAAAGAGAAAGAAACGTAGCAAAAAGCATTGCCATAGTACAAAACTAAGAAACGATTCATATAAAAAAAGCAAACGTTGTAAGTCGCAAAACATTCCAATCAACAACAGCACACAATTGAAATTGTCCAAGGCACTTTCGCTTAAGTTATTTTATCGTGGTGAGTAAATTCTTAGGAAGATTTGAAAAGCAAAAGAAATCATGTTGAATGTGACATACCTAGTGCCAAGATACTGCAAATAGTTTAGCTTCTTTTTCTCCTACTATGCTCGTCAATTTCAGTTATTAAAGAGATAAGAAATCAAAAATCAATATAATGTAACTGCTAACCTAATGAGACTAGACGTAAAAGGAGTATAGACACAATGGTAAACTTTGCGTGTGGATAAAACTAACAGTGGAAAAGCTTCCGGTCAGCATCCAATCGATATAGATGAAAATCAGAAACTGCCAGATAGATAGCGATATATGACAATAAAGATAAAAGTCTCCTGGTCACAGCAAAAGCTGTAATAGTGAAGGTAGAAAAGTTTGCTTCACTCGCCAGTGTTACAGAGACAAACTTCACCACTCACAATAATGTGAAACATTAAAGGCTAATTACTTTCAGTCATGAGACAATTCGTCAAACTGTTGATGAAATAGCTAAACCCGCAGTGACTGTGAGCTACAATAAGACCAAAAAACGTTGCCCCACATAGTCATGTTTCGAAATCAGTGGGCGAGATTTCTGTATTTCAAATAACTTGCCAGGTCAATAGTAAAAATCTCAGGGTCACAAAGAAATCCATAGAAATGACCCCACAGAACTTCGAAAAATAGAGAACTCTGTCAGAATGAAAGGTGAAAACTTCAAATAGTATGCTAATCCCTGAGAATCACGAAGAAAAAATCGTGAATTCACAAACATCGGTTGGTTATGGGTTTTCTCTTTACTGCCATCCATATCCATCCTATTGAGTGCCGACAAGAACCTTAGAATAACAGATAAGCATGTTAGTGCTACAGCAAAAAAGATTCGAGGAACCAATCAAGGTGTCAAATTAGCAGCGATAATGCTCATACTACGGAACAATGTCTTTGGTTTACATCAAAAGCTTTCGCATCACAAAAGAATTCTTCAGAACAACTACATATACGGGTACTCCAAAAGAGCATTTGGACACTTAAAACCACTTCTACATTTTCTCAAAACCGATTTTGATCCAGGCATATACAAATTCCATGAGTTTTTTGGGATATGTTGGAACTGAGGTGGAGAGACTATGGTAAAATTTGCAACCCTATAACATGATGTTTGAGGGAGATATTTACTAAAGAGGGACCAGCTATTACTTATTTAGTAAACCAAAATTCTCTGTGAGCCTTCATTTTATACATTTATTTTTTTGTTTGAGAGAGCCTCTCAGGTTAGAATGCGGTAAAGAGCCCTTTTCTTTTAAATTTTTTTCCTTTTTAACTAGAGAAAAGGCGTGACAAATTCAATAACTAAAAATCCTCCGAAAAAATGGAAGTCTTTTGGACTATTGGACTTGTCATCCATTCTCGTCATTTGAAAAATAAAAGTTTGCATAAAAGAGCTGTGTCATGCCCTGCATTCAGACATGCTCTCTCAAACAAACAAAAATAAATCTATACGATAAAGGTTCACAGAGAATTTTGACTTACCAAATAAGTTATGGTTGATCCCTGTTTAGTGAATATCTCCCTCAAACATAACGCTATAGGGTTGCAAATTTTACCATACTCTCTCTACTACAGTCGCAACATATCCTAAAAATTTCATGCGATTTGCATGTGCCTGAACTAAAACCGATTGTGAGAAAGGGTGGAAGTGATCTTAAGTGTCCGAATACTTTTTTTAGAGTACCTTTAGCTTCAGCAGTTTACCTTATGCTTACGTAACAGAAAAAACTTCAGCATTCGCGGAGTGTCTATGAGTGAGTGCGAAAACTGTTTCAATACAGAGGAATGTTCTGGAATGGGTGCAAAAAATTCAGGAAACCAATTGGCGCGTTACGTACTTGAGAAAAACTTCACGGTAGTAGCTTATATCTCTGGAAGACGGGAATATTTTTCGATCTCACAGACATCAATGAACGGAAAATGAAAAAGCTTCAGACTACTAAACAATGTCTCTGAATGACAACCAAAAACTTTGGGGCAGAGGCCTATTTGTGATAGAAAGAGAAAAGCTTCCAATCGTTGCCACGTGTGGGCGTAGCGTCAAGAAACTTCACCCTTCGATGAATATTTGTAAGTGAGAACGAGAGCATTTTCATCGAACAAAAAACATCTCCGAGCGACAGTGAAATTTTACGGGTAAATGATCAAGGCGTCAGCAGCTCAGAAAAGCTTTAGAGTACGGCCTCATCTTTCTGGATGAGGGTGCACACTTTTATCTGATAGAAGTGGACAGGAGGAAAAGCAAAAATCTTCAGACGAGCGATTCTTGATGTGGAATGGGCATGAGTGCATAAAAAGCACTCACCCACGTCCACGCCCAAGCAATTCTGTTGGGTACTTCTCCATCTCTCTGGATGACAGTGAAAGCTTTCCTATTTCATAGGAATTTGTGTGACAAAAAGCAACATGCTTTAGAAGCCTGTAATTATCTGAACCCACTAACTAAAAGCTTTGGTTTTGGAGGAGTATATATGTGTGATGGTGAGAAGTTTCTGATCATCAGAAAGGATTAAACAATGAAGAGAAAACTTAAGGAATTGACTAATATGTCCAGTGCCTTAGAAAACGTTCACAGTACGACCAAATGACTTTAGGTGCTGGTGAAAAAGATATTAAGATCATCCACACGCACCCACTCACACCACATCATCAACTTATACCAACAGAGTAAAATTTTCACATCAATGCCGAACATCGACACTCAATCATTAATATGCTTTTACCGAATCTAAACGAAATAAATTAGCCATCATCATCCGATTCGACGAAAATTTGTAGAAAAGTGTCGAATTTATTTGATTTGAATTCGCTTTGAAGTTTTTAAATCAATCTAGAGAACCTAAGTCATCTGAAGATGGACATCTGAGCAATAGTCGAAGCGCGGTGTGATAACTTCTACACATCCACATCCTTTCATATTTGTTTGATCTTTTCAGTCATCTCAATTCTATGATGCTACCTATATCTAACATGATTTGTCTGCCTCTGTTTTTCTCCTACTCTATTCAGCAATTTCAGTTATTAAAGAGAAAAGAAACTAAAGTCTGTATAATGTAACTACGAATTGAATGAGATCGCACATATCAAGAAGATGGAAACTGATAAACTTTGGGTGTAGGTAAAAGTAACAGTTTAAAAGCTTCTTGTCGCAAACCAGCCTGTACGGATGAAGGTCAAAACCTATTAGCCAGAGAGAGAAGCGTGGGAGTAAAGAAAAAAGTTTCCGAGCATAGCAAAACCTATAGTAATGAGTTCAGAAAGCTTCGCTTCAGCCATCGATGCTACGGAGCTAGAGTGACAACTTCAGCCACTCCTGTTTGTGTGAAGTACCAAGGATCAA